CGGCGGCCGGGCGGGCCGGCGGCATGGGGGAGCGTCGCGCTCGGCCCGAGCCCTAGCGGCGGCCGCGGCGGCCCGGCGCTGAGGCGAGAGGCGGCCGCCCGGAGGAGGGGACCCGGGGCCGGCCCGGCCGCCAGAGCATGCCGTGATGGCTGCGGAGAAGACACTGCAGGTGGGTGGCGCGGCGGCGGCAGGGCCGGGGCGGCCGGCCGCGCTCGCCTTCCCTGGGCGTGCTCCCGGGCGAGAGCGCGGGGAGGCCCGCCGGGCCGGGAGGCCGCGCCCGAGCGCCGGGCGCCGAGCGCAGGACCCGCCCGGGAGCAGGGAACTCCAGGCCCAGGCGGCTCCGACCCCCGAGGTCGAGTGGCCCCGGCGCCCGCCCCCCGGGAGCGCCGAGCGGGAACGCCGAGCGCATCCTGCCCGCGGGCGGCGCCGGCCCCCGCCCCGCGGGGAACTCGGCGCGGGGAGGCCGGGCCCGGCGGCCTAGAACGCCCGTCCAGTAGCTCCCGCCCGCCCGAGGGCCGGGGCCGGCGAACATGGAGGCGGGCCCGGGCGCCGCCGAGGGAAACGGACCCACGGCCGTGATCCTGCCGCCCGGACCCGCTCGCGCCCGTGGGGTGAGGCGTCGCCCGGCATCTCCGTCCTGCCCCCGCCATTCGCCCTCCTCGGCCCTCCTTCCACCGGTCCTCGGGCGGTCCTGGGAAACCCTCGCCCTGGGTCCCCTTCCTCAGCCTCCTGCCCAAAGCCCGCGCCCATTTCAGCCGGGTGGTTCTTACTCCTTTTTGTTTTTTCGTGCGATTGTTTGTTTTTCTTAAAAAATAATAACAACTCCCTGCGACAGGGTGTTACTTAAACTTGGAGACATGAATCTCGCTTTCTTCCCTAAACTGTTTTATCTTTTATTGTCCCTTAAAGTCCTTACAGACAGCGGTTGCTTCCAAGCACTGATTACTCTAACTGGGTTTCCTGCTGCTTTGGGTATCCGTTAACACTGCGGGTTTGTGTTCTCAGTTTTGTGATAGAGAGATGAAGCCGTAATCCACATTTAGGGAAAGTTCTCCTATTGGTTGCAGGACTGTCTTGGAGTATCTCCAGCTCCATCAGGCGCTTATTGATTCAGAATTTTTTTTTTTAAACCGCCTTAGAATAGATGAGGAGATAATTGGGCCTAAGCGTTATATATTTAGAAATCTGAGAAAGTTGTGCAGTTCTTCACTCATTTCCGTATTGAGATTTTCATCTCCATTTCCATTATGAGCAGAAAACAGGAGGCAGGCCTCAAACACGTTTTTGTGTTTTGTTTGTTTGTTTTCTGTTTCTTTTCTTTCTTTTTTTCTTTTTTTTTTTTTTTTTGGACTTTCCAAGATCCATTAAAAAAGACCACAGCTAGAAGCAGTGAGACACATGCCTGGGATCCCAGCACTCAACTGAAGGATCCTAAGTTCGAGGCTAGCCGAGGTTGCCGAGGGCAGAAGGGTATGACTTGAGGTTATTTAGGATCTTACATGTATAATTAATTAATTGTGCTTACAGTTTTTTCCCTTTTATTTATTTTTTTTTCGGTTTTTCTGTGTAATCCCCCGGCTACCCTGGACTCTCCTTGTAGACCAGGCAGGCCTCACAGAGACCCACCTGCCTCTGCCTCCCAGGCACTTACTTGGCTTAAAGGCATGCTCCATCGTGCCCAGCTGCTTACAGTTTCTTACCTTTGGTATTCTCTGATCTCTGAAAAGGTTGGTCCAAGCCCCAGATCAGGTGTCCTTCATACATTCCTTTCTGTTCTTGCAGTTCAGCATTGCAAATGTCTACTTGAAGGCACCATAACAACACCAAAATGATCTGTTTTGTTGAAGCTGAATTCATGATATAAAATATTGGAATGTTTTTTTTTTAAGAATTGCTTTTACTTTTTAAAGTAAGTTACAGCAACTTCTAGTATCTGACCATTAAGTAGAGTAAACTTGCCTTTAATCCCAGCAGTTGGGAGGTAGAAGCAGGCAGATCTCCAAGTTCTAGGCCAGCCTGACCTACAATAGCAAGTTCTAAGCTAGCCAGGGCTATAAGTATGTATCTTTGTTTCCAAACAAACAACAAAACAAACATTATAAACAACATAAATGAGCATTTTCTTATTTTGTCCTTGATACTTGGGCTTGAATTCCTGACCTTCTGCATGCTAGCTTTTCTAACACTGATTTGTATCCTATAACCCAAGTTGGATGACACAAAGAGATCAGTGTTTTTTTCTATTTAATAATGAAAGTCTAATGGAACTATTTTGGTGTGGTGGAAAATAGAAACCTGGAATGCTCATGTGCTGAGGGGAGCTTTTATTAGTCACTTCCTTCTGCTATTTTTTTAAAATAAATGATCACAATAAAAATATCTTGTTTTATATTTTGGGCTTCTCTGGAGATGTTTTAATGGGTTACAAGTGCAGAACTGGACCTTGAGTGGTTAATAGAAAATGTAATTTTGTATTTTTTCTAGTCCAAAATTGAATTATCTTGTTGTTCTAGCAGGGTTCCATGGTTCTTGCATTTAACTACTGTATATCTGAAAGTGTTACTGTCAGTATCCACTTGGTGATTTGCTTTTTATCTAAGCTTAGCCAAGTTCTTTCATTTGGATTTGAAGTTTCAAAGAAACAAGATGTTGAATTATTGAGTTGAATTATTTAAAAATATTTTTAATGTTAGACTATAAAATTATACATTGATCTGTGCAGTTATTGTTCATATGAAGTTGGTATATACTTCTGTTTTATTGTTAAGTAGTTATTTAGGTGTAGAGTAAGGGTCCTAACCTCTGGAGGACTTCTTACTAACAGAACATAAGGCTCAATTGAAATCCTTACATACTGTGAGTGAAGAAGTGAAAAAAAAAAAGTCACATTCTGTGTAGGGCTTCAAGGTTTACGTAGATCAAGTAGATTAAGTGAGAGTCAAGTCCTAGAGCTCTGGAGGGAACACAGAGTGGGTTGGCCGGTGTCTAGGGCAGTCGTAGGGGGGGTAAACTACCAGTCTAGTGTAGTCATAGAGCATTGTTTGTATGAGGAAGAACAATAATGCATGAGTGAGAAGTGGACTTTTTTTGAAGGAAGATTCCAGGGTTAGCCTTCAACCGTTGAGAGCCTGGACTGTGACCTTCAGTGTAGCAAATACTCCAAAGAAGCTCACGTTTTTTAAGTCCTAAGAAGCCTCATAGGCACGCAACATTCCTTCCCAGTTGACAGTGATAGGATGAGGGTTTCAAACTTAGCCATGCTCCATCCCTGTTGTGGCAGTGCTGAAGTTGCTGTAACTTCATCTTAGATCTGCCAATGTGAACAGTACGACAGCACCATCCTCCTTGGAGTTTGTTTTTAAGAAGGAGAACGCTTTCTCATATACCTGGAGTTATATTGTTTAAAGAGGTGGGTCCCTCCTTCTGGTTCCTATAACAGTGTGCATCAAGGATTCACTTGTGGTATTAACAATATTTCAAATAGTTTCTTTCTAATAATGTTTTATGAAATCATCCTCCTGCTTTCAGACATTTGTGTTTCCTAATATCAATATCACAATGTTTTTATTGACTGTCTCAGTAAAAACTTGTTTTGTGTCTGTAGTTTAAGAATGTATTTCTAAGCCAAGTACTGTAGCACACACCCGTAATCCCAGCACTCAGGGAGGCAGAGGCAGGCGGATCTTTGAGTTTGAGCCCTGCCTGGTCTACAAAGTGAGTACAGGACAGCCAAGACTACAGAGAGAAACCCTGTCTTGAAAAACAAAACAAAATAAAATGTATTTCTAAACATAGTGATGGAAAAGAATATTTTTTTTTTTACCCTAAGTTGTATTGATATGTAAACCTATTAGCAAAGAGTAAGAAGGCTGATTTCATCATGCTTTAGTTAAAGATTAACTTCAGAAGTCTTTGACAGTTGGCCTAGTGAGATGGCTCAGCTGGTAGAGCCTGATGGCCTGCATTTGATGGACAGAACCAACAAGTTGGAAGGAGAGAACCAGCTCTCACAGGTTGTTCTGACTTCCCATGAGGTCTGCACAGGTAAATGGATAACTAGAGGCTCTAAGGATTTGGGTCCAGATGACAGAGATTTCCTCTGAAGTAGCTCTGCAGAGTGCTGTTTGAGTTAGGTGTGGGAAGGCTGAGTTGATGGTGTTGACTCACATCAGTGACGTCTTCGCTGTCAGCAGCTCCTCCTAGTGATGCTGTCACTCACTTTCTCTAGTTTGCAGGTGATATCAGCTCTGCATTGTGAAACTGAATGATAGCAAGTTAACCTTGTACCTAAAAGGTCAGTGACCAAGGGCCTGGTGCTAACCACGTGACTCAGGATGGCTGAGGATGGAGCCCAACACAACACTGGAGAGCTGCTTCAAACATGAGGGGTTTTGTTTGTGTAGTTTGGATTGTTTTTGGTAATTCTACTGTGTAGTTTTCAAGTGCTTCAAATAATGTTGTGTGTCAGTGTGCCAGGAGGCTGGGCACACCTGGTAGAGAGTACTCAGAGAGCAGAGACTGAAAAATGAAGGTTTGTATTGTATGGAGCCACAGAAGAGGCCTCTCACATCAGCTGGCCCTCACCCTAAGAGTCCTAGTTTTGTTTCTGTTCCTACCCATCAGACACTATCTACTTTGAAGCCTGGCTTTTACTGGTCCAAAAGGATAAAGTAAGGGCTAGTTCGTGTGCAAAGAGGCTTGCTTCCAAGCCTGGTGTCCTTAACCAAGAACCTGCAGAGTGGAGGGGGAAAGCCAGCTCTTACAGGTTGTCCTCCGACCTCCCAAGTATTTCATGGCATATGCACAGGCATGGCACACATGCGCGCACACACTAAATAAACGCAATACAATGTTTAAATGAATGAAAAATGCTAGGCACAAGGCATTAAATTAGTAAGAAAAACATTTAGCGGTATCATTGGTTTGATTGGATAGGAGGTTTTATTTACCTTTTTACTTAATCCCTGGCTTTTAGTTGTATTGAGAGTAACTAAAGTTTCCAGATGTAAAACTTCTGTAAAATCAAGCTTTTACTGTTACAAACTTGTAAGCTTATATTTTTAGGTTTTTCAAAAGCCCTTTAAGTGTATTATTTTATGTCTTTTAGGATGATGCTAAAATTAGTTTTTGTTCTTAGTCATCTGTACTCATTTCCTATTCAAAATTATGTGGGCTTAATTTTATCCTATTCTGTAATTTAGTCTGTTTCAGATCTTGGCTTTTACTTCATAATTTATTTTCATTGTCTCATACACTTACATTGAACGGTTTGTTCATATAATTGAATCCATCTCATTATAACTGACCCTCTTTAACTATTTGTGTCATTTTCTTTGGCCGGACTGAGTTGATCTTAGGTATGTGTTACTTTCTGGTATTTCAGTTATAATTTTTAAGATGTCTGGTACAGATATAAAAACCTGGAAATGTACAGTACATGGTCTATTTAGATGAAATACATTATTCCTGTTTCTGGTAAGACAAAACAAATACCTGAATAGCACAAAAGTCATGAGTGAAAAGTTAGTTAGCAATGCCACACACAGGGAAGATTGTCTCAAATAAAGAGGGATGTTTTCTGAAAGCCATTTCAATACTTTTTACTACTTAG